TTCCTCGTAAGACAGATCTTCTCGAAGAGGAAGCATCCCATGCTCGATTACATGAGTAGGGTCGGGAGTATACTTTCGCAGCATGGATACGTGGAACACATTGTGCACGGCGGCAAGGTTCGGTGGTAGGGCAATTCTGTAAGCCACAGCCCCGACTTTGTCCAGAATCTCGAAGGGGCCTATGAACCTTGGGCTCAATTTCCCTTTCTTCCCGAACCTCAACACCCCCCTCATAGGGGCCACCTTCAGGAACACGTGGTCACCCACCTCAAATTCGAGGTCCCTTATACGCACATCTGCATAGCTTTTCTGTCGACTCTGTGCGGTGAGTATCCTCTGTTTGATTTTCTGCACCGCTGCGTTGGTGACCTGGACCAACTCTGGTCCCCTTAGTTGCTGCGTGCCTACCTCTTCCCAAAACACTGGTGTTTGACACCTACGCCCATACAGTGCCTCGAAGGGGGCCATCTGAATGGTCGCTTGATAACTATTGTTGTAGGCAAACTCCATTAAAGGCAGATGTTCGTCCCAACACCCAGCGAAATCTAAGGAGCAGGCTCGCAACATGTCCTCTAAAACCTGATTCAGCCTTTCGGTCTGTCCGTCCGTTTGAGGATGGAATGCTGTACTGAACCTCAACTGAGTTCCTAGTGCCTTCTGAAGACTCCTCCAGAACTGAGAGGTGAACCTGGTGTCCCGGTCTGATACTATGGACACTGGTACCCCGTGCAGGCGTACTATCTCCTTGATATATAACTGAGCCCACCGGTCTACTCGATATGTGGACTTTCCTGGAATGGAGTGGGCTGTCTTAGTCAGTCTGTCTACAATTACCCATACGACGTTGAAACCCTGCTTTGTCTTTGGCAAACCCGAAATGAAATCCATACAGACTGCTTCCCATTTCCACTGAGGGACGCTCAGGGGCTGTAGCAATCCCGCTGGGCGCTGCCTCGGGGCCTTCACCTGCTGGCAGGTCAAGCAACGGCTTACGAAATCCGCTATGTCCCTCTTCATTCCGGACCACCAGTAAAACCTCTTCAGATCCTGATACATCTTTGTACTTCCAGGGTGGAACACATAAGATGTATCGTGGGCTTCGGTCATAATATCTTTTAAGATTCCCTCGTCTCGGGGAACGCACAGGCGGTTTTGCCATAGCAGACCCCCGTCTGAGGAGATAGAATACCCTACTGGCCTCTCTGTCTCACTCTGACTCCACACTTTACTGAGGTGTTCATCAGACCTCTGAGCGTCGATAACTTTCTTTCGTAGGGTAGGCTGTATAGTTAACTGTGCTATCTGAACATTACCACCTTTAATCACCACGTCTATCCCAGCCCTCTTCATCTCATCTTGTAGTTTTTCCTGTGTGGTGATCATCACAGAAGTATGCACAGCCTTCCTGCTCAATGCATCAGCTACCACGTTGGCTTTGCCTGGATGGTACAGAATCTCTATGTCATAATCCTTTACCAGCTCCAACCATCGCCTCTGTCTCATATTGAGCTTCTTTTGCGTGAATAAGTACTTGAGGCTCTTATGATCAGTGAAGACTTGTACTTTTTCCCCATACAGGTACTGCCGCCACGTTTTTAGAGCGAATACTACCGCTGCTAACTCGAGATCATGCGTGGGGTAGTTTCGTTCATATTCTTTCAATTGTCGAGAAGCATACGCTATCACCTTACCTTTCTGCATGAGCACACACCCCAAGCCTTTCCCTGATGCATCACTGTACACCACGAGATTACCTGACCCATCTGGAACCGTAAGGACTGGTGCAGTTACCAACCTCTTCTTGAGTTCCTGGAAACTCTGTTCGCAGACTGGAGTCCAAGCAAAGGGCTTGCCCTTCTTGGTTAGCTGAGTCAGCGCCGAGGAAATTTTGGAGAAATCCTGAACAAACCTTCTGTAATAACCAGCTAGCCCAAGAAAACTCCTCACCTCTGTGACTGTGGTCGGCTGTGGCCACCTCATCACTGCTTCTATCTTAGCTGGGTCCACTGTGATCCCCTTGCTTGACACCACGTGACCCAGAAACGCAACTTCAGACAACCAAAACTCACACTTAGAGAACTTGGCATACAACTGCTGAGCTCTCAGTATTGTCAAGACTTTTCTGAGGTGTATTTCATGATCTGCCTCTGACTTTGAGTATACCAAAATGTCGTCGATGAACACTAAGACAAAGGTGTCTAAGAATTCCTTAAACACCCTGTTCATTAGTTCCATGAAAACAGCTGGTGCATTGGTAAGGCCAAAAGACATAACGAGAAACTCGTAATGCCCATAACGACTTCTGAAGGCTGTCTTGGGTATATCCCCTTCCCTGACCCTCAACTGATGATACCCCGACCTTAGGTCAATTTTGGAGAAAACTGTTGCTCCCTGTAGCTGATCAAACAGGTCGTCAATTCTCGGGAGAGGGTACTTATTCTTTATAGTGACCTTGTTTAATTCCCTGTAATCGATACACATCCGCATGGACCCGTCCTTCTTCTTGACAAACAGAACAGGGGCTCCCCAGGGTGATACACTGGGTCGGATGAAACCCTTATCCAACAACTCCTGTAACTGTTCCTTCAATTCCCTGAGTTCTGCAGGTGCCATCCTGTAAGGTGCCTTGGAGATCGGCACCGTTCCTGGTTCTAAATCGATCCCAAAATCGACTTCCCTAGCTGGGGGCAAACCCGGCAGATCCTCCGGAAAGACATCTACGAACTCCCTGACGATGTGTACCGATGAGGTTTTTTGTTTGTTACTATTATCCAAGGTCACGCTGGCTAGGAATGCAATTGCGCCACTACGAATCAACTTCTTAGCCCTTAGCGAGGTTATGACGCTCGGGACACCTTTGGAAGTGGCTCCCTTGTAGGTAAAGATGTCCCCTGACGGGAGCCTGAGAGTCACTATTCGGGTCTCGCAGTCTATCAAAACGCGATTCCCGCCTAGCCAATCCATACCCAAGATGACATCGAAGTCTTGCATCCTTAACACTATCAGTGTAGCTTCGATGACACGCCCTGCTATCGTTACTCCACCTCCCTTCACCCTATGGGTCGCTAGCAACAGCTCGTGAGCAGGGGTAGACACTGATAGGGTAATCTCTAAAAGTTCTTTCTCTAGCTGTGCTAGCTCTACAAACTCTTCAGATACGAATGAATGCGTCGAACCCGAATCAAACAATACTAATGCAAGATGACCAAATACGGGTAGCGTACCTGTGACAACCGCGTCAGGCTGGTCAGCTTGCCTGGCTGTTGTTGCATGGGCTACAGCTCGCCCCTGCTGATGTTGGCCGGCTTGGCCCCTCTGATGCTGTACTGCAGGCAGGTTGACACGCTGATCGTTTCTCTGAGGGCAATCCAATGCAAAGTGCCCTACCTGACCGCATCTGTAGCAGGCGCCTGTTCCTGCTCTGCATTCCCTCGTGTGAGGACGCCGACAATTCGGGCACAAAGTCATGTTCCGTACCGGGGCTCTCCCTCGCCTATCAGTGCGGCCACGGGGTGGTCTGCCAGTTCTGGGGTGGCTAGGGTATGGCCCCTTTCCCTGGGCCGCAGTGTGGGATGGTTGTGCTATTCCCAACTGAAGCTTGTCGGTACGGGGCGAGTCGAGCAGGGTCGCCACCTGAAGGGCTTTCGTATAGACAAAGGATGACTGGGATGCCACATTCCCCCTTAGTTCTTCCCTCAGGCCAGCAATAAATCGTTCGCCCTTCAACTCCTCAGAACTAACATAGGCTGGAGAAAACCTTGCCAGCCTATTGAACTCCAAGTCATAATCCCCCACTGATCTGTCTCCGTGTTTCAATGCGAGGAACGCGGCCTGCATTTTCACTCTGGCAGTGATTGGGTAGTATTTGTGGAGGTATGTGTCTTTAAACTGACACCATGTAATAAACTCTCCTTGTGGTACTATGGTTTTCTGAGCACCTTTCCACCAGAAGTGCGCTTCTCCTTTCAGCATATATGTCCCACAATGGACTTCATACTTTGGTGGGCAGTTCATAAAATGGAAGGCCGTTTCTATGGCCTCTAGCCAATTCTCAGCGGCAATAGGATCCATCTTGCCTCCGTC